ATCAATTCATGTGAATATGACTGAAAAATTTCATTTGTTTTCTGAAAAGGTGGTGTCTATTTACTTGTGACCACGCTGTGTAGATTGTCAACAACTCAACCACTGACTTATTATACGGAGAACGGCGTCAATATTATTTTTATATATATATCTGTGTGATGATATGCAACAGTTATTCAATATTTTTATACTTTAAACACATATCCATGCCAACAGGAAGAAGACAACGACGAAAAAGATGAATTAGACTTGATTGCCGATGACGAAGCTGAAGATGAGGAAAATGATGTCGACGACGAAGAAGTAATGGAAAAACCAAAAGGTGGATGAGTGTGTTATCAAGTTGTTTACAAGTGTGTGTGGCTTAGATATACTTAATCTTACGCTTTTGAAATACGCATAATAAATAACTCTACAGGTTTTGCTTTTACCGTATTTTTTTTCTAAATAAAGCTTTCAGTTAGCTACCAGTGTTTAATCCATAAAACAGTTACGTTTAACGCTATTTCCTCAACCAGAAATACTGGAATATTAAATATACTTGTCAAGGGAAGTCATTTCTTAAGTTGGGCGCACTTATTAGCGATAGCAATACGAAAGTCTTGAAGTTACTTATAAATTATACGAGACAATGTGTCTTACGTACAATACAGCTTAGGCCTATTTGAAATTTGTTAGGACATAGTAAATGCCGCCTATTAAAACTGTATTTTTCTTACCTAACTACTCTTTTAGTTAATGACGTAAATTCTAACACACACATATATATTTAAAGCAGGATTATTAAAAAAAAGATCTGCGAATTTTTTTAACTTTCTGACTTGTATTATTTCTAGAGCAACGAAGATTTAAAACAAAGGGTATACATCTAGTTCTCTGCTTTCAACTTTATTCATTAGAACTCAATATTGGAAGAAAAAACGTTTTCTATAACTCACCTTTATGGCCAATAGGCCGGCGAACAGAACGATGCAAAGACATAGCACAAACGAAAACTTCATTTTAATTGGTAACAGTTAAGTACCTAGAATAATGAACAAAAGCATAAGATTGTGTTTAATGTATTGAAAGTTATTAGAGTAAAAAATTTAGAGTAAGTAGTAAGTTACGTATATATATTTAATCATTTACACGCTGAGATAGTTAAAATGACTGACCCGGTTGCCAAAATACTTTCTGTGCGGAAGTACAATTTAGAAATATAACAGTAATAATGAAAAAAAGAATAGTTAAGATTAGGACGACATTTTTGTAAGTTTTCACACAGAATTGTTTAACATAATAATATTTCGATTGACTTACGTTATCAAACAATTAACTATTGTTTTGGTTTAAAACAAATGTCATAATGAACATTTCACTAGGAGGACTGAGTGGTGAAAATTTGTACCACGTACTAGTCTACACGTATGCAAGTATATATTAACACATTGTAAACAGTAACGCATACCAGTCTACCCATATACAAATAAATATTAACACATACCAGTCTACCCATATACAAATAAATATTAACACATACCAGTCTATACATATACAACTATATATTAACACATAGTAAATATTAACACATACCAGTCTATACATATACAAGTATATATTAACACATACCAGTCTATCCATATACAAGTATATATTAACACATAGTAAATAGTAACACATACCAGTCTACCCATATACAAATAAATATTAACACATACCAGTCTACCCATATACAAGTAAATATTAACACATACCAGTCTATCCATATACAAGTATATATTAACACATAGTAAATAGTAACACATACCAGTCTAACCATATACAAATAAATATTGACACATAGTAAATAGTAACACATACCAGTCTACCCATATACAAATAAATATTAACACATACCAGTCTACCCATATACAAGTAAATATTAACACATACCAGTCTATCCATATACAAGTATATATTAACGCATACCAGTCTATAGATATACAAGTAAATATTAACATATACCAGTCTATACATATGCAAGTAAATATTAACACATACCAGTCTACACGTATACAAGTAAATATTCACACATACCAGTCTATAGATATACAAGTAAATATTAACATATACCAGTCTATACATATGCAAGTAAATATTAACACATACCAGTCTATACATATACAAATAAATATTAACGCATACCAGTCTATAGATATACAAGTAAATATTAACATATACCAGTCTATACATATGCAAGTAAATATTAACATATACCAGTCTATACATATGCAAGTAAATATTAACACATACCAGTCTATACATATACAAATAAATATTAACGCATACCAGTCTATAGATATACAAGTAAATATTAACACATACCAGTCTACACGTATCCAAGTAAAAATGTCTACTTTAAGCTGTATCTTTGTTCGTTTTTTGAACTAGTTAGTAGAAGTTGTAAACTACTAATTCAACCAATTAGCAATGATAAGTTTGTTCAATTACTACCAAATATGAATGAAAACGAGTGCAACCAATACACAAAGAAAACGTGATAAGTAGTTATAAAACTCCAGAATGAACACTTCCATTAAGAGGGTGTTGGCCTAACGGACATGGCAGAAAAATATAAAAATATACATGTCATTCTGTAGTCTTGACTAAATGTTGTTCAGCAAGAAGTGAGAAGAAAAACTTGGATAATAAAGAACAAATTGATATGTCTAAACGAAAACTTTTCTAGTTTTATTTTGTGCGAAGTTTCGGACAGACGCCTTCGTCAGGCGATAAGACGGTTTTTACTGCCTGACGATGGACGTCTGCCCGAAACTTCGCCCAAAGTAAAACTAGAAAAAGTTTTCATTTAGACGCGTCAGTTTATCCTTTCTTAACTTTTATACAGGTTTTGAAACTTTACTGACCTTATAGCTCTTGATCAAATTTCCATCAAACAATTAATCAATAGGAAAAAATAACATACTCAAATTATAATGTAGAGTATATAAACCCAATATAAATGCATTTATGGAAAATAGTTTTTAATCCATTAAGTCATATAAAATAGTTTTTAATCCATTAAGTCATATAAAATAGTTTTTAATCCATTAAGTT